GAGCCCGTTTCGTAAAACTTATTACATTTTCAAAGACTTTAGTTTACAAATACACAACTGAATAGAACTTAAACATCTCCGATTTTGTTTATATCTACATTTGAGTGAGGTGGATGGGGTGAGGTGGCATTAATAGGGTATTAATTTCATCAACACAAGACAGAACAAGAGGTGGCATTAATAGGGTATTAATTTCATCAACACAAGACAGAACACGAAACAATGGGTATTGAAATGGAAGTGATTGTAGAAAGCCTATTGGTCCATATTTCTTGATGCTTCTATGTTGGAGCGGAGTCTTGATATATATGTATGTCCTACACACCTACGGAGTGTAGGTGTGTAGCACCCTTGGCACCCCTGGGGGAGGCCAGCACCCCTGGGGGAGGCCAGCACCCCTGGGGGAGGCCAGCACCCCTGGGGGAGGCCAGCACCCCTGGGGGAGGCCAGCACCCCTGGGGGAGGCCAGCACCCCTGGGGGAGGCCAGCACCCCTGGGGGAGGCCAGCACCCCTGGGGGAGGCCAGCACCCTTGGGGGAGGCCAGCACCCCTGGGGGAGGCCAGCTCCCCTGGGGGAGGCCAGCACCCCTGGGGGAGGCCAGCACCCCTGGGGGAGGCCAGCACCCTGGGGGAGGCCAGCACCCCTGGGGGAGGCCAGCACCCCTGGGGGAGGCCAGCACCCCTGGGGGAGGCCAGCACCCCTGGGGGAGGCCAGCACCCCTGGGGGAGGCTAGCACCCCTGGGGGAGGCCAGCGTCCCTCTCCTCTCTACTGGACTGCCATTTATCTCCCTCTTCACCGCTTCATCGCAATTTCCGACACCACAACACTGCTACGGGTTCCTTCATCAGGCGGGGTGGTGGTTACCTGGCACTGTCTACCTGGCACTGTCTACCAGGCACTGTCTACCAGGCACTGTCTACCAGGCACTGTCTACCAGGCACTGTCTACCTGGCACTGTCTACCAGGCACTGTCTACCAGGCACTGTCTACCAGGCACTGTCTACCAGGCACTGTCTACCAGGCACTGTCTACGATGTAACAACCAGGAAAATCCTCCTCCTGCTCCTCTCTCTCTCTCTCTCCCTCCTTCTCCTTTTCCCCTGTTCTCCCTCTTCCTAACTCTCCCTTCCCTCCTTGATACGAGTAAGAGGTCGAGAGCTGACCTCTCCTTCCATTAGTCAACAGACATATCAAACAACTTTTTAATAGAACAATCCCTGTAGGATGGTGTCCTAGCTCAAGATGGAGGTAGTTGACCTTCTCCCTTAAAGACGTGGTAGTTATCCTCTCAGTAGTTACCAGATCTGTCTGGGATAACTCTTGTCAGTTTTTACGTTTTTTTAAAGTAAAATAAGTAATAAGTAAGTTTCAGTAGCAGACAGAAACCAACTGTATATTGCCGTTATGTAGATGACATATTCGTCATAGTAAAAGACTCAGATGAACTAATTGATCTAAAAAGCCATCTAGAGAGAGTCAGTACTCCGATTTACACATGAAAACAGTGAAAATAAGTCTGCCATTCCTGGATGTACTAATAACAAAAACAGGAACCTCTTTAAGCACCAACGTATATACCAAGCCCACCAACATAGGATTATGCCTGAACGGTAGAAGTGAGTGCCCCCAAAGATACAAAGCCAGTGTTCTCAATGCTTATATTCGTCGAGCGCTTACCCACTGCTCTGAATGGAGCAACGTGAGTAGAGAGTTTGAAAGAGTAACTCAGGTATTGGTGAACAACGGATATAGCAACGCGGAAATAAACGCTGCTATAAGAAGACACTTGGACCGTTGGTATAATCCTGAACCTAGGACAGAAACCACAACACCTCCAATAAAATTATATTACAAATCAACCATGCACAGTGAACATATAAAAGAGGAAAGAATAATGAAAGAAATATTCCATAAAAGAGTAAAAAGCACTACTCCTAACCAAAACATAGACCTGATCATATTCTACAAAACCAAGAAAACTTCCGAACTCCTTATCAAAAACAGCCCGAAGCCGACGGAGAACCCTCTACAGCAGTCAAGCGTTGTATACATGTACACTTGCCCCCACGAAGGATGGGGCAAGTGTACATGTATGTGGGCAAGTGTAGGAATGAAAGTAATTGCAGAGTGCCTATTGGCCCATACTTCCTCTTGATACTTCTATATTGGTTCGGAGTCTTGAAGTGGGTAGAATATAGTTGTGCATTAATTGGCTGTTGATTGCTGGTGTTGACTTTTTGATGTGTAGTGCCTTGCAGATGTCGAGCCGCCTGCTATCGCTGTATTTATCGATGATTTCTGTGTTGTTTGTTAAGACTTCTCTGGTGATGGTCTGGTTGTGGGAAGAGATTATATGTTCCTTAATGGAGCCCTGTTGTTTATGCATTGTTAATCGCCTGAAAAGAGACGTTGTCTTACCTATATACTGAGTTCTTTGGGGCTTACAGTCCCCAAGTGGGCATTTAAAGGCATAGACGACGTTGGTTTTCTTCAAGGCGTTCTGCTTTCTATCTGGAGAGTTTTTCATGAGTAGGTTAGCGTTTTTTTTTTATTTATAGTAAATCGTCAATTGTATTTTTTTTTTATTTTTGTCTGTAGGGATAACGTTCCTATCAACAATATCTTTCAGGACCCTTTCCTCCGTTTTATGAGCTGCCGAAAAGAAGTTCCTGTAAAATAGTCTAATAGGGGGTATAGGTGTTGTGTATATTATAGTTGTGAAGATGTATATTAAATACATCTTCAGAAGGTCTGAAGATGTATTTAATATACGAAAGTACTTAAGGAAATTCCTGTTTCATTTTTCCTCCGTGGTCTGACATTGTCATATATATATATATATATATATATATATATATATATATATATATATATATATAAAATAACAAGGCTCACAGTGGTGCAGGAGGGGGGACCAGGCAGCTGACAGTGGTGCAGGAGGGGGGACCAGGCAGCTGACAGTGGTGCAGGAGGGGGGGCAGGCAGCTGACAGTGGTGCAGGAGGGGGGGGGGACCAGGCAGCTGACAGTGGTGCAGGAGGGGGGGCAGGCAGCTGACAGTGGTGCAGGAGGGGGGGGGACCAGGCAGCTGACAGTGGTGCAGGGGGGGGACCAGGCAGCTGACAGTGGTGCAGGGGGGGGGGACCAGGCAGCTGACAGTGGTGCAGGAGGGGGGGGGACCAGGCAGGTGAGAGTGGTGCAGGGGGGGGCGACCAGGCAGCTGACAGTAGTGCAGGGGGGGGACCAGGCAGCTGACAGTGGTGCAGGGGGGGGGACCAGGCAGGTGAGAGTGGTGCAGGGGGGGGGCGACCAGGCAGCTGACAGTGGTGCAGGGGGGGGGACCAGGCAGCTGACAGTGGTGCAGGAGGGGGGGCAGGCAGCTGACAGTGGTGCAGGAGGGGGGGACCAGGCAGCTGACAGTGATGCAGGAGGGGGGGCAGGCAGCTGACAGTGGTGCAGGAGGGGGGGGGACCAGGCAGCTGACAGTGATGCAGGAGGGGGGGCAGGCAGCTGACAGTGATGCAGGAGGGGGGGCAGGCAGCTGACAGTGGTGCAGGAGGGGGGGACCAGGCAGCTGACAGTGGTGCAGGAGGGGGGGCAGGCAGCTGACAGTGGTGCAGGAGGGGGGGGGGGACCAGGCAGCTGACAGTGGTGCAGGAGGGGGGGGGGGGCAGGCAGCTGACAGTGGTGCAGGAGGGAGGGACCAGGCAGCTGACAGTGGTGCAGGAGGGGGGGTCCGGCAGCTGACAGTGGTGCAGGAGGGGGGGACCAGGCAGCTGACAGTGGTGCAGGAGGGGGGACCAGGCAGCTGACAGTGGTGCAGGAGGGGGGGCAGGCAGCTGACAGTGGTGCAGGAGGGGGGGACCAGGCAGCTGACAGTGGTGCAGGGGGGGGGGGGGACCAGGCAGGTGAGAGTGGTGCAGGGGGGGGGGGCGACCAGGCAGCTGACAGTGGTGCAGGGGGGGGGGACGAGGCAGCTGACAGTGGTGCAGGAGGGGGGCAGGCAGCTGACAGTGGTGCAGGAGGGGGGGGACCAGGCAGCTGACAGTGGTGCAGGAGGGGGGCAGGCAGCTGACAGTGGTGCAGGAGGGGGGGCAGGCAGCTGATAGTGGTGCAGGAGGGGGGGGCAGGCAGCTGACAGTGGTGCAGGAGGGGGGCAGGCAGTTGACAGTGGTGCAGGGGGGGGGACCAGGCAGCTGACAGTGGTGCAGGAGGGGGGGCAGGCAGCTGACAGTGGTGCAGGAGGGGGGGGGACCAGGCAGCTGACAGTGGTGCAGGAGGGGGGGCAGGCAGCTGACAGTGGTGCAGGAGGGGGGGACCAGGCAGCTGACAGTGGTGCAGGAGGGGGGTCCGGCAGCTGACAGTGGTGCAGGAGGGGGGACCAGGCAGCTGACAGTGGTGCAGGAGGGGGGGACCAGGCAGCTGACAGTGGTGCAGGGGGGGGACCAGGCAGCTGACAGTGGTGCAGGAGGGGGGGGGCAGGCAGCTGACAGTGGTGCAGGAGGGGGGGGCAGGCAGCTGACAGTGGTGCAGGAGGGGGGGCAGGCAGCTGATAGTGGTGCAGGAGGGGGGGACCAGGCAGCTGATAGTGGTGCAGGAGGGGGGGCAGGCAGCTGACAGTGGTGCAGGAGGGGGGCAGGCAGCTTTACATCTATCTGGTGCAGGAGGGGGGGGGGACCAGGCAGCTGATAGTGGTGCTGGAGGGGGGGGGCAGGCAGCTGACAGTGGTGCAGGAGGGGGGGGGACCAGGCAGCTGACAGTGGTGCAGGAGGGGGGGGGGGACCAGGCAGCTGATAGTGGTGCTGGAGGGGGGGGGCAGGCAGCTGACAGTGGTGCAGGAGGGGGGGGGACCAGGCAGCTGACAGTGGTGCAGGAGGGGGGGGACCAGGCAGCTGACAGCAGCTGTCACATGATAAGAGATCATAAACAGCTTGACCATAAAAGCAGCGTTGCCAGACTCCCACATCCTTCACTTGTTAGCAAGTGATCAATATACCTGTTACTGCCTCCTGCTGCCGCGGTCTCCGCCTCCTGTCGCGGTCTCTGCCTCCTGCCGCGGTCTCTGCCTCCTGTCGCGGTCTCTGCCTCCTGCCGCGGTCTCCGCCTCCTCCTGCCGCGGTCTCCGCCTCCTCCTGCCGCGGTCTCCGCCTCCTCCTGCCGCGGTCTCCGCCTCCTCCTGCCGCGGTCTCCGCCTCCTCCTGCCGCGGTCTCCGCCTCCTCCTGCCGCGGTCTCTGCCTCCTCCTGCCGCGGTCTCTGCCTCCTCCTGCCGCGGTCTCTGCCTCCTCCTGCCGCGGTCTCTGCCTCCTCCTGCCGCGGTCTCTGCCTCCTCCTGCCGCGGTCTCTGCCTCCTCCTGCCGCGGTCTCTGCCTCCTCCTGCCGCGGTCTCTGCCTCCTCCTGCCGCGGTCTCTGCCTCCTCCTGCCGCGGTCTCTGCCTCCTCCTGCCGCGGTCTCTGCCTCCTCCTGCCGCGGTCTCTGCCTCCTCCTGCCGCGGTCTCTGCCATACCCTGGGGGAAGGGGTTGAGGCACTGGCCGCCAGGAGGCAGCAGTTACCAACAAACAAGAAACAAAGGAAATGGAACAGCCTCGAAGCATCGGATTTCATATTTCGCGTCCCGACCCCACTAATCCTGCCTGGCAGCCCCACTAATCCTGCCTGGCAGCCCCACTCATCCTGCCTGGCAGCCCCACTCATCCTGCCTGGCAGCCCCACTCATCCTGCCTGGCAGCCCCACTCATCCTGCCTGGCAGCCCCTGTCAACCATCCTGGCAGCCCCTCTCCCAACCATCCTGGCAGCCCCTGGCAGAGACCGCGAGGACCGCACGGTGTCAGCTGACCCTGGCGCTGGTCAGCCACAACTGAGCCACAGGAAGATAATCAGGAGCAACAAATGCTGGCCGGCGCCTCCCCCTTGGTAACTCAGACCACCATTACCCATTTTACGAGTCGTCTCTGATTCCCTCCTGATTACACCTCTCTCCCGCCTCCTGATTGCTTCTTATTCTTGCGGGGCAGAGAAAAAAGAAAATGGGACCTGGAGCGAGATGGGTTAAAGCGGCTGCCTCGGTTGTTATTATTACAGCTTAACAGTCAACTAATTTTCACAAAACTGGTTTTGAGTTCTATTAGCATTGGAATGTGTTGGTGAGGTGTGTGTGTGTCTGTGTAAGCGAGGCCCACGCTGCTGCTGCTGCTGCTGCTGCTGCTGCTGCTGCTGCTCCAGGCACCAGACCCACGCTGCTGCTGCTGCTGCTCCAGGCACGAGACCCACGCTGCTGCTGCTGCTGCTGCTGCTGCTGCTGCTGCTGCTGCAGGCACCAGACCCACGCTGCTGCTGCTGCTGCTGCTCCAGGCACCAGACCCACGCTGCTGCTGCTGCTGCTCCAGGCACCAGACCCACGCTGCTGCTGCTGCTGCTGCTGCTGCTGCTCCAGGCACCAGACCCACGCTGCTTGTTCACCGAGGTCAGAGGCCAGTCATTATCCACCAGGAGCTGCTGTGCCACAACCCGGGTGCTCCACAAGCTCCTTCTTTCTATAGACATTTTCATGGCTATGGTACCAGTATGGTACTTCATATGGCATGGTACACAGGTAGGGGTACCTGGGCATGGTGGGTACGAGCAGCGTCACTAAACACAGGGTACACGACACAGACAGACTCATACAATGTTAACAGTATGCACAAAATCTGGGAATTATGATATCTGACGACCAGACCAATTATGATATCTGACGACCAGACCGATTATGATATCTGACCAATTTAGTGAATATAACCGAGCATATATAACGGCGGTCAGGACAAGCGCCTGACAGCTGAATGGACAGCGCTTCGGATTCGTAGTCCTGAGGTTCCGGGTTCGATCCCCGGTGGAGGCGGAGACAAATGGGCAAAAAGTTTCTTTCACCCTAATGCCGCCTGTTATCTAGCATTAAATAGGTACTTGGGAGTTAGACAGCTGCTACGGACTGCTTTCTGGAGGTGTGTAACAAAAAGGAGGCCTGGTCGAGGACCGGGCCGCGGGGACGCTAACCCCCGAAATCATCTCAAGATAACCTCAAGATAAGATAGGATGGATTATGGGATCCGTCAAATCCAGAGATCCCACAGCGATGGTAATACTATCTAGACAGATGAAGATAGACAGAGACTACAGGATGACCTGGACAAACTGGAGGAATGGTCTGGAAAATGGCTGCTAAAGTTCAACTCAGGAAATTGTAAGGTGATGAAATTAGGCGAAGGGAGCAGAAGGCTGAACACAAGGTACCATCTGGGAGGGGAAAACCTGCAAGAGTCAAATAGAGAGAAAGATCTTGCGGGTTGATATCACACCGAACCTGTCCCCAGAGGCCCACATCAAAAGGATATCATCAGCGGCATATGCTAGACTGGCCAACATTAGAATTGCCTTTAGAAACGTGTAAGGAATCGTTCAGGACCCTGTATACCACTTATGTCAGACCAATCCTGGAGTATGCATCTCCAGCTTGGAGTCCATACCTAATTAAACACAAGGGAAAGTTAGAGAAGATTCAGAGGTATGCCACCAGGCTCGTCCCAGAACTGAGAGGTATGAGCTGGTATGTTTTCAGTGTCAGAGTAGCAATGGAATACATTAGGCAGTGATGTGGTGGGGACAGACAGTTTGAAATGGAGATATGATAGAGCCCAGTAGGCTCAGGAACCTGTACACCTGTTGATTGACAGTTGAGAGGCGGGACCAAAGAACCAGAGCTCAACCCCCGCAAGCACAACTAGGTGAGTATAACTATCAGGTCACTGGTGCTCGGTACTCACTTTCCCTTTTAGAGCGGGAGAGAGAGTGGGACCAGGCCAAGGGGAGTGGGACCAGGCCAGAGGGGAGTGGGACCAGGCCAAGGGGAGTAGAATACCTCTCAGACCCGCCCTCAGGCATGGCTCCTGGTACATTGGTCGTGAACAAATCCACAAGGGCCGTGACGAGGATTCGAACCTGCGTCCGAGAGCATCCCAGACGCTCCCTTAATCGACTGAGCTACGACATGGTAAAAGGAGTTGAAACCGAAGTTCTACTGAACTTACTGGATCCTGCAGCCTCTCCGAGACACAAACCAGGGTTTTACACAACTCCCCCCTGCACTCGAGCTATGTCAATAGGCCGTTCTCCCTCTTCGCCCTTACTTCATTACACACAGAAATCACAATAGTGTGATGCATCAAATGAGCAAATCCACAGGGGTGATACCTGGTGGATTTGTTCATTTGATTCATCACGCAATTGTGATTTCTGTGTGTACATTTGTCGTCTTCTAACTTTCTGGTAGTTCATGTTCCCAGGGTCTTATTACACACGATAGCGAGTGGCACAAGGCTTGAGCTCCACTTGTTATCAGTGAAGTCTTAACCGAAGACCATTTGGTCTTCAGTTAAGACCGCCCAGCTCTACTTGACGGTAGAGTGATGGTCTCGCTTCATGCAGGTCGGCGTTCAATCCCCGACCGTCCACAAGTGGTTGGGCACCATTCCTTTCCCCCGTCCCATCCCAAATCCTTATCCTGGCGCCTTGTAAGTTATATATATATATATATATATATATATATATATATATATATATATATATATATATATATATATATATATATATATATATATATATATATATATTTATATATAGTCCGGAGGCTCTGGCGCTTTCTCCTGATAGTTCCCGCCCCTCCTGTGGAGACCTGCAGGGCTTATTGATTACTGTGAGTGTAGGCTGGTTGCTTTAATATTATACTATGGTCCCCTGTTGAGCAACGGTGAGCGACTGGTCCCCTGTTGAGCGACTGGTCCCCCCTGTTGAGCGACTGGTCCCCCCTGTTGAGCGACTGGTCCCCCTGTTGAGCGACGGTGAGCGACTGGTCCCCCCTGTTGAGCGACGGTGAGCGACTGGTCCCCCCTGTTGAGCGACGGTGAGCGACTGGTCCCCCCTGTTGAGCGACTGGTCCCCCTGTTGAGCGACTGGTCCCCTGTTGAGCGACTGGGCCCCCCTGTTGAGCGACGGTGAGCGACTGGCCCCCCTGTTGAGCGACGGTGAGCGACTGGTCCCCCTGTTGAGCGACTGGTCCCCTGTTGAGCGACTGGTTCCCCCTGTTGAGCGACGGTGAGCGACTGGTTCCCCCTGTTGAGCGACTGGTCCCCTGTTGAGCGACTGGTCCCCCCTGTTGAGCGACTGGTCCCCTGCTGACCGTCACTGTCGACTCCATTACTGTGTTTAGAGACGTGTAAACACAGTGAAACTGAGACGTTAATGGTGTGATGGAAGTGAAGCAGTTGGTCCGTCAGGTCCAGTGGGGTCCGTCCCGCTGGGGTCCGTCCCGCTGGGGTCCGTCCAGCTGGGGTCCGTCCCGCTGGGGTCCGTCCCGCTGGGGTCCGTCCCGCTGGGGTCCGTCCAGCTGGGGTCCGTCCTGCTGGGGTCCGTCCTGCTGGGGTCCGTCCCGCTGGGGTCCGTCCAGCTGGGGTCCGTCCAGCTGGGGTCCGTCCAGCTGGGGTCCGTCCAGCTGGGGTTCCTCCCGCTGGGGTCCGCCCCGCTGGGGTCCGTCTCGCTGGGGTCCATCCCACTGGGGTCCGTCCCGCTGGGGTCCGTCCCACTGGGGTCCGTCCCGCTGGGGTCCGTCCCGCTGGGGTCCGTCCCGCTGGGGTCCGTCCCGCTGGGGTCCCTACCACTGGGGTCCGTCCCACTGGGGTCCGTCCCACTGGGGTCTTGGAAGATGTTATTCTCCTTAAGGCGACCTCGGGGGCATGCTGTGTGGGTACCCAGCGGGGCATGCTGTGTGGGTACCCAGCGGGGCATGCTGTGTGGGTACCCAGCGGGGCATGCTGTGTGGGTACCAGCGGGGCATGCTGTGTGGGTACCCAGCGGGGCATGCTGTGTGGGTACCCAGCGGGGCATGCTGTGTGGGTACCCAGCGGGGCATGCTGTGTGGGTACCCAGCGGGGCATGCTGTGTGGGTACCCAGCGGGGCATGCTGTGTGGGTACCCAGCGGGGCATGCTGTGTGGGTACCCAGCGGGGCATGCTGTGTGGGTACCCAGCGGGGCATGCTGTGTGGGTACCAGCGGGGCATGCTGTGTGGGTACCAGCGGGGCATGCTGTGTGGGTACCAGCGGGGCATGCTGTGTGGGTACCCAGCGGGGCATGCTGTGTGGGTACCAGCGGGGCATGCTGTGTGGGTACCAGCGGGGCATGCTGTGTGGGTACCAGCGGGGCATGCTGTGTGGGTACCCAGCGGGGCATGCTGTGTGGGTACCCAGCGGGGCATGCTGTGTGGGTACCCAGCGGGGCATTCTGTGTGGGTACCCAGCGGGGCATGCTGTGTGGGTACCCAGCGGGGCATGCTGTGTGGGTACCAGCGGGGCATGCTGTGTGGGTACCCAGCGGGGCATGCTGTGTGGGTACCCAGCGGGGCATGCTGTGTGGGTACCCAGCGGGGCATGCTGTGTGGGTACCAGCAGGGCATGCTGTGTGGGTACCAGCGGGGCATGCTGTGTGGGTACCCAGCAGGGCATGCTGTGAGCTCACACGACTGGGCAAAATATTTACATTTACGAGATTTGTCTTAAATTCTCCTTTGTCAGCATTCTTTAACAACAATTATTAGCTAATAATATATTCACGACAGACACTAATGTTAGATTACTTATATAAAGTAATATAACATTATTTGCTGACATTACTTTATAGTTACGAACTGTTATCACAGGAAAGTCATGGAGGGGAATGAATTTCCCCTTTATCATTCTCGTCTATCTAAACTCCCTTTCATATTAATTGTTACGTAACGAGAACTTATTTGATATTATCTAAATTATGATAAAGTTTTGTCTCTATTATCTCGGATGGTTAGATATATTATAGGAATTATTTCCTCCGTTCCAACACTCCGTGGTGGCGCGCATGCGCGAGCGAGTGGAGAAAAGACTGGCAAGAGACGCCATTAAGCGAGAGAGAGACTGTCGGGAAGCGTGTCAAATTATCGCTTAATCGAAATCCTCAGATTAGGCAAAATTGTAATTAATTTAGTCAATAAAGATGTTAATAATAAATACTCACTAACCCGCCATCGCTGCTAGTACGGACGCTGGCAGGACGTGACTGCTTCAGGGTATTAGTTCCAAATTTCTAAAAAAAAAAAAAAATGCATTAAATGAAAACCAGTTCGATTTCAATCAAACTTTTTTGACTAGTTGTATATGAAATTTGGTTCAACTGGTCCAAGTCTCAGCATCGTAGCATAAATAAGAAGGGAGGAAAAAAAATATTGAATTATGTGTCAAAAATTTTCCAAAATTTTCCAAAATGGTCAAAAGTTAACATCAAACAAAAGTGTCAACTGAAATCATGTTTAAGACTCTCAGCTATCACAAAAGCATATATTAAAAAAATATATAATTAGTGTTATTAAAAAAATTAAGTTAATTGTTTTTTCTTATTTGTTTATCGGACGATTTGCACGAAACTTACACACCTGACTGCACGTAAGCCTACCTGTAAGGGTGCCAATTTGGGAGGAAATTGGTTGATGTCAACCTCAGCCACAGATGGCAGCACCTTAGACTTTACTATTTTAATGATTGATTTTTCAAGTAACAAACGAATTGGTACTCTTTCATTTGTATTCAATTTACATGAAACTTACACCTTATATGTGTAAGTTTACACATATAAGGTGTAAACTTTATACAAGTTTATGTCTCTAAAATCTGAAGGAATTGTTTTTCCCTAAGTTCATTTATTGATTTTATAAATAGCAATAAACATGATACATTTGAATAATTATTTGGCCGAACTTTGACTATTTATATTAGGACAAGTAAAGATGTTTTGAAAAATCCCTTCCTACATATCATTTATTATATGCTAATGTGTCAGAAAAGTGTCATAGAATGATTATATCTGAAAAGGTGAAAGGTTTGAATTCACTTGAAAATGTGTAATATTTGTTAAAAAAACAAAAAAAATTAAATCTCCCTTTCTAGTTAGGCTGCAGTACTGAAACTTGGAACAATTACAGCCCTTTTCATATAAAACTAGTCAAAAAAATATTGGTTGACATTGAACAACTTTTAAGAAACTAATCTAAGAGCCCCTTCATATCACAGACATCAGTATCGACAAATCTATAAGTCCATTTCCCTAGTTGTTTGTGATCACATTTAACATAGATAGGATGATCTAACATCCTATGTTAAATTTTAATTAGATTTAACATAGATAGGAATAGATAGGATGAGTTGTCGTTATGCTGTGCGCCCATTATAATTAACCAGTAAGTTTATTTCCAGTGCTTTACCACAGTTAATATACAAATATATGTGGTATTATAACTCTCTAGATAGTATTTACATGCTACTCGCTTTTCAGCTGGAATTTGTTGGTAATAAGGAAGAAACCCGACATCTGGATGACGTGTTCCCAGGATAGCCTGATGAAACACGTTTCTCTTGACCAATATATCCAGATCCATGCTATCTTTCCTTCATACAAATGTTATTTCGTCCTTGTAGTTTTGTACACTTTTATTTTCTATTAATCTAATGATCTTCAAAGATAACATTCAATATTTCATATTTTCTTCAATATTTCATGTATATCAATATTCATTTATTTGTACTAGAAATGCATTAATTTCTCTGTACTAATCAACCCCCCCAAAGCGTTTGGAGGCATTTGGCTCAGTAATTTATAATAACTACAGTTAATTTATTATACAGTAATAGTTTTATTGTGCATCTATATGCGAGATCCATACACACTGGTTCGTCAATTTATTTCCTTTCTTTATAAAAGATTTATTAGCAATCAATTTATTAACAATATCTTGGAGCCAGATTTTCCCACACTGTGAGCATACTCAGCGAGGCATGCTGTGAACATACCCAGCAGGGCATGCTGTGAGCACACCCAGCGGGGCATGCTGTGAACATACCCAGCAGGGCATGCTGTGAGTATACCCAGCGAGGCATGCTGTGAACATACCCAGCAGGGCATGCTGTGAGCATACCCAGCAGGGCATGCTGTGAGCATACTCAGCGAGGCATGCTGTGAACATACCCAGCAGGGCATGCTGTGAGCATACTCAGCGAGGCATGCTGTGAACATACCCAGCAGGGCATGCTGTGAACATACCCAGCGGGGCATGCTGTGAGCATACCCAGCGGGGCATGCTGTGAACATACCCAGCAGGGCATGCTGTGAGCATACTCAGCGAGGCATGCTGTGAACATACCCAGCGGGGCATGCTGTGAACATACCCAGCAGGGGCATGTGTGGTGCCACATAAGGGCGCCGGGTATTTAGAGGAGGGAGGTGGAGACACAGGCAGGGGGGGGGGGCAGGTGTCGGCTCCTGCTAGACATGATTTATGTGGCTACTGGTGCTGGGTGATGACAGCCGGCCCACACCACTGATGGTATCATGATGAACACCTCCTGCTGGGGAGACAGCCAGGGAGGGAGGGGTCTGGGAGGCAGGGAGGGAGGCAGGGGGCTGGGAGGGAGGGAGGGAGGCAGGGAGGGAGGGGTCTAGGAGGGAGAGAGGCAGGGGAGCTGGGACGGAGGGAGGCGGGCAGAGAGGGAGACAGCCAGGGAGGGAGGGGTCTGGGAGGCAGGGGGCTGGGAGGAATGGAGGCAGGCTGGGAGGAAGGGAGGCAGGCAGGGAGATAGGGAGGGAGTGAGGGAGAGAGGCAGGGGGGCTGGGACGGAGGGAGGCAGGCAGGTTGGGAGGCAATAATTTCAAATGGAGTGCCCCGACAGCCCCAGACCAAAGATTCGAATTCACTATTTATTACAAAACAAAAAGAACTGTTGATCTAATACTTATGGACAGCCCCAATAAACACTACATCTCTCTCCACCGTGGTATACCACTTTACACGCCCCCATGAAGGATAACATCCGCTGATGTAGACTTGACTAAATGTAAACTCTGTTACCAGAACTAGTCGCATACTTTGCCTCATTATATAATGGAATGTGAACAAAATCGCGGCATTCAGAGATAACACCATCAATGGTGTCCAAGAAATGTGTTAAGTTCTTCATTCAAAGCTGCCGCCCAGTTGGGTGGGTGTGGGGCACATGACTGTAAAGCTGCCGCCCAGTTGGGTGGGTGTGGAGCACATGACTGTAAAGCTGCCGACCAGTTGGGTGGGTGTGGAGCACATGACTGTAAAGCTGCCGCCCAGTTGGGTGGATGTGGGGCACATGACTGTAAAGCTGCCGCCCAGTTGGGTGGGTGTGGAGCACATGACTGTAAAGCTGCCGCCCAGTTGGGTGGGTGTGGAGCATATGACTGTAAAGCTGCCGCCCAGTTGGGTGGATGTGGGGCACATGACTGTAAAGCTGCCGCCCAGTTGGGTGGGTGTGGAGCACATGACTGTAAAGCTGCCGACCAGTTGGGTGGGTGTGGAGCATATGACTGTAAAGCTGCCGCCCAGTTGGGTGGGTGTGGAGCATATGACTGTAAAGCTGCCGCCCAGTTGGGTGGGTGTGGGGGCACATGACTGTAAAACTGCCGCCCAGTTGGGTGGGTGTGGAGCACATGACTGTAAAGCTGCCGCCCAGTTGGGTGGGTGTGGAGCACATGACTGTAAAGCTGCCGCCCAGTTGGGTGGGTGTGGAGCACATGACTGTAAAAGCTGCCGCCCAGTTGGGTGGGTGTGGAGCACATGACTGTAAAGCTGCCGCCCAGTTGGGTGGGTGTGGAGCACATGACTGTAAAGCTGCCGCCCAGTTGGGTGGGTGTGGAGCAAGACTAGTAACTGTGTGACTCACCATAGATGTAAAGTGCCTTGTATAGTGACTGTTGTGAGCCTCATGTTGATCACTTGTCATATAAAAAGATTATTGATATATGTATTTGTGTACATATATGTATATATATATATGCGAACAAGCCTGAATGGTCCCCAGGACATATGCAACTGAAAACTCACACCCCAGAAGTGACTCGAACCCATACTCCCAGAAGCCACAAAAGTTGTGGCTTCTGGGAGTATGGGTTCGAGTCACTTCTGGGGTGTGAGTTTTCAGTTGTATATATATATATGTATATGTGTATGTAACATTAACAACTGTGTAACTAGCGTCACGAGACTGTCACTTACTTAGCTAAACGAACTCCGGGGCTCAGTTCCTGAACCCATTATGTGCCTCTGTAACCCTCCCCCCTCCCCCCCACTGGATGGGTATGGGGTGCATAATAAAGAAATTAAAATTGATTGAAGGCTGTCACCTTCGATTTACTTATATTAGTATGACCACAACACAGCTTTCGTGAAGACTGACGCGCCATCTACAAGCTCGGACCCCCCTGAAGACCACACGGAAAGTGTACACAACACAACACTAGGAACATGCTAACATATAACACAACACACACTAGGAACATGCTAACATATAACACAACACACACTAGGAACATGCTAACATATAACACAACACAACACTAGGAACATGCTAACATATAACACAACACACACTAGGAACATGCTAACATATAACACAACACACACTAGGAACATGCTAACATATAACACAACACACACTAGGAACATGCTAACATATAACACAACACACACTAGGAACATGCTAACATATAACACAACACACACTAGGAACATGCTAATATATAACACAACACACACTAGGAACATGCTAATATATAACACTGATATATAACACAACACTAGGAACATGCTAACATATAACACAACACAACACTAGGAACATGCTGATATATAACACAACACAACACTAGGAACATGCTAACATATAACACAACACAACACTAGGAACATGCTAACATATAACACAACACAACACTAGGAACATGCTGATATATAACACAACACAACACTAGGAACATGCTAACATATAACACAACACAACACTAGGAACATGCTGATATATAACACAACACAACACTAGGAACATGCTAACATATAACACACACTAGGAACATGCTAATATATAACATAGGAACATGCTGATATAACACAACACAACATAACACAACACTAGGAACATGCTGATATATAACACAACACAACACTAGGAACATGCTAACATATAACACAACACAACACTAGGAACATGCTGACATATAACACAACACTAGGA